CTTGCGCTTGCCAGGGAAGTACTTATTCCACTGAGCCATCTCCCCACTCACATTTTGGGAATGGATAGTAATGGTAGGTGTATAGCAATGTTAATGTAATTAATGCCACTGCATTTTAGAATGCTCCAAGTTGTTAAGAGCATATGTTATATTTTATCTACATGAAAAAGCAGAGATTAACTTGTGACTAACATGTAGAAGGTGTCACATAGCTAATGAGAAGACTCAAGTGAAAAATTAAATGCAGTATTAATATTAGATTATTGTATTATGAGAAAATAATGCTGATAAAGGGACTCTTATTTATTTATTTATCATTTGCTGCTGAGATTTAATGTATAATTATTTGGAAACAATACCTGTTTACCAGAAATCCCAAGCTTTGTGTTTCCTAGAAAGGAATTACTATGTAAGTAAATACATTTCATCAGGGAACTTAACAGAAAATTATATTAGTCCGAGTTATCCAGATAAATAGAATCAGTTGTGTGCATGTACGGACTTCTAACGAGAAACCAGCTCCGTGCAGTTACACATTCAGGAGAAGCCTGAGAAGGGCCTCCTCTGCCGCTGGAGAGCTGGCAACGTCGCTTCTCGAGGCTTCAGAACCCCCGGAGCCGTGGTCAGCTCCAGCTGAGCATTGGTCTGAGGCCCAAGGGATGCATTTTTAAAAGAAAGTATTATAGCAACCTGTTTTCACTGTAAGGAGGAACTAAATGGTTTCTATTGTCTGTTTGGAAATATTTTAAGACGAGTCCTGCAAGTGGGGTGGAGTGTGGGAGGAATTTCTAATCTAAAGGAGAAAAGGTTTGGTAAGGCATTAAATTTGGGTGAAAGCATCACCATTGCTTGGTCCTGACACTGAAGTTTGGAGGAGTGTGAAAATGAAGTCGAGCGGGCTGAAGGCAGGAACACGCGTCTGCTGTGTCTGGAGTAGCCACAAACCACCGGGCTTCACTGAAGACGGTACCACTTGGCAACATCGTTTCTGTGAAGAGGAGGGCAGCGACTTCCTGAGACCTGCCGTTGAAGAAGCTCAACTTCCCTAATGGTAAAGGAAATACTACAGTGAAATTTTAGGGTCAAGATAAGGCCTTCCAGGGACCTAAAATTGGTATCGCAGGAAGGCAAGGGTAAGGTAAAGCCTTTCAGAATCCCAAAGGTAACATAACAGAGTGAGACAGTCTCTGGCCCTAGCAGTTTGTTCCAGGAGGGAACAGGGCAGGCATGATACGTCACAAGCAGATGAAACAAGGTGTTGAATGATGAAATTAGTTATAAATTCATTTTATTTAAACACATTGACTAAATAAAATTTAAGGGCTGTAGTATCTATTAAGATAAATGAAGGGCTGGCCAGATAGCTCAGCGGAGTAAAGTGCCTGCTTCGGCAGAGCGCAGAGGCCGAGTTTCGACCTGGGATGCCGTGCTGACCCATCCCAGGGGCGTACGGAGACGGCGACTGAGACTGTGGGTGGTGGTACACGCCTGTCATCCCAGCGCTTGGGAGGCTGAAAAACAGGAAGATCACTATGGGTCTGATCTACGTAGTGAGACCCTGTACACCCTGTAGACCCTGTCCTAAATTCATAAGAAATAAAATAAAATAAAATAAAATAAAAAGATAAATGGAATTTGGTTTAACAGAAGTACATAGAACAAAGGCGAGCAAGCTTTAATTTTCATAAGATCAATGTGCTGTTCATTTCTTTTAGTTACCAGATCAGCAGAGAACTCTTCAAAGTCCAGACGCCTGTTCGTGCATGTAGCCACGTGTTTGCAGATCCAGTACTGCCTTTCCTACCCTGAGCTTCTTCATCAAAAGGATGTTAAGATGATTCACTGGAATTATCAGACTTGACAGTTTCTGAAGGAGATGAGCTCCTAGCCATCCCTCCTTCCTCTGGGAGAGTCCCAGACAATTTCTACCTTCAGTGTAAATTTACACCCCTTGCAACCTCTGGACCTGTGATGGGAGGGCGTCCTTTGTATCTCTGGGCTATGTGCAGTCAGCATGTCTATTTAATTCTAAAGATAATCAAGTGATTTGATGCAGCAAATGCTTTTCCGAAGACCTGGCTGCTCTTTGCTCTCCTACTGATTAGAGAATTTAAGGGGCCTCAGGATGGAGATTCTACCACTTTTCTATTAACAACATTATACAAGAAAGCTGTTGCATGAAATCTGTTTTCTCTCCTTTAGTATTTTCTTCTACTACAATGGAATGTTGGTCTGTCTTGTGGAATCCGAAAGAAAGGTGGAGTGTGACTACAACTATATCATGTTATTTGCTTTAACTTTTTCTTTTTTTCTTTCTTTTTTTTTTTTTTGTGGCTGGCTCAGACCACCCTGGGGGCAGGGCTGATATGGGATGTGATGCAAGGATCAAACAGCAGTCCCTGCACTTGCCTAAGCTTGCCTAAGCAGGAACTTTAGTTTGCTGAACTATCTTGCTGAGTTCTTCTCCCTTCTCTAGAATAAAGACAGTTATCCTTTTTATCCACATATGGATCGTCTGTATGGAAATTCTGAAGTCTCTGATAGGGTTTCTTTTCCATTTGCTCAGTGTGGGGCTGGGCCACTCTCCTCCCTTATCTTAGAGACAAAGGCTCTAGGAACAGAACCTCAACTGATTCTTAGCCCACAGAAGCAAAATGAGGAAATGTGTCACTTTCTAGAAATAGAATATAATTCCAACAGACAAGAATTGTCTTGGACTGCTCATTCTTTCAGTAATCTGTCTAAATGTAATATTTTCATACCCTTTGTACAAACAAATGTACCAATACAACTTAAGCTAGCTATGATTATAGTTAGGTTCCACGTCATGGCAATAAAGCCTGACTTTGTGGAATGCGTACCCCACTGGGCTGGCAGAGGAAAAAGTCTGACTTGATTACTAGGCATTCATGTGGAAATCAGGTGAGTATTGTTATGGGGAAGTTTGGGCTCTGGATGAAATTTGGAATGAAAATTTCAAGGCTGTGAGCCTTTGTAATACTTACAAAGCCATGACAAAGACTGAATCCTCTAGGGAATAGCTACGGATAGAGAAATTGGTTCCTGGGGCCCCAGAACTTTGGAGAGTGAGGAGAAGGGTCCACCAGGGCATCTTCAGGAGGAGAAGGAGGAGCTGCAAGGAGAGGACAGAAGCTCTGCCACAGATAGTACAACTCCACCATTTGTCTAAGATACTGTGCTGAGATCAGATCACTGAATTTGAGCCTGTAATTTATCAATTAAAAAGATACAGTTGTAAAAATACAGCTATCCTTGATGGAAACATTACACTCTATGAAGAGATAATTTTTAATTGATGATAGGAATAGGACTAGACTTGAAGACTGATGATGCAGCCCTCTCCTTGCCTTGTGAGGATGAACCTTGACATGTTACAATTAAAACTGTAAGAAGCACAGAACAGTTCTTCCCTGATGTGGAATTTTGAGAGAATTTAGTATGTTTGCCTAATATAGATACTTCTGATAGGAAGTGTTCATGACTTCTGTGTAATTGATTTTTGAATATATTGTTTATGATAAATATTATTTTCAGAATTACTTCAAAATCATTCTTACTTTGGATTTTTCTCTATCTGTAAGATATATGATGTAATATTTTTAATTGAGCAAGGGCCTTGTCTCCATTTACAACAATAATATACATGATAAACATCATAATCACACTTGATTTTTGCAAAATTTATTGCCAAATTATAAATATCACACTCTTTTGTCTTCATTTCTTTTCCTCTGTCAATCTTGAAGGTGATTTTTCTTCATCACTTCTTTGGACATGTTCATTCCTTTGCAGAATCTTCTTAATAAACTAAGAGAAAAGGTTCAAAGTGAGATTACAAATCTTTATAAAGAATTTAAGAGTAGTAATCACCTCATGTGATTAAACAAAAAATAGTTTTTCTTTTGCTTTATTTTTTCCTCTAATAAAACTGTTTTCTATTTAATTTGAATGCCACCATGAAACTGGACAGTTATACTCTTAGAAAGATGTTTAAGGTCTTAGCTCCTCACTTTCTGTATCTACAGATGTGATAACAGAGTTGTCCCATTGTATTAAATAATATTTGTAAAAAGCAATTACACAGACATTGACATGTAATGGCAAGCCAAAAGACTATTTTTCTCTGAATGAATACAAATAGTATTCATTTCTGATTAAAGGAAAATTGTAATGCTAAATTAATCATATCTATGGATTTGTAGAATTTCAGAAGAGCAGATTACTTTTCTAGGATTGTTTAACTCCTCCATTTAATAAAATTTCAGAAACAGAATGGTCTGCTTTTCATTCACATAAATATCAGCTTGCTTGCATCTTAAATCTGAAATATTTTTCAAATTAAATTTAAACTTTTACTGCAGTGTAGAAGGGATCGCAACATGCATGAGAAACAGAATTGCATGTGGGTGGTTTTTTATTTCACAAGTTTAGAGAAGTACTGAATAATGTTTTTCTTTTATTTCTATGTTTTCTTCCAAACTGAGTCCAGAGGTTTCATTCTATGATCATTTCACATGAAGATACATGTTAGTTCATCTCTGGAGTTGACTCTTCCCTATTCACATACATATTGCTGGATCAGTCATTGCTAGGAGTCACAAAGAACTAGTCCCTTGAGGAAACTCATTCCTTGAAAGCACAGATCTAAAACCAAAGGTCAACCTTAAGTGAACCAAGTGGTAAAGAACAGCTGATCCCATCGACTTTTGGGGGATCCTGCCTATTACAAAACCAAATGCACCTTATTTGAGTACTATATTCATGCTAAGTACTGTTAACTAGGAAAGTTAATCTGGAAATTAAGGAAGAGGTAGTGTGTGATCATCTGAAATTCCATAACACAACAAAAGATACAACAAAATAAACTAGATTTTTTTAAAACCAGTTTTGGCTGAATTTGGGATCATTAATTGTCTGGCGTGTGGATCCCGAAAAGCATAAGAGGTTCAGGAGATGTTTAGCACAGATGCTTTGAAAACTCAAATCACTGAAGCAGCCATCCCTCTTTGTTATAAAGATGAAGGGGGAGGTTCAAGAATATTTTAAAATCAGATGGCTTGAAGAAAATGTGGGATGAAAGCTCCAGTTGCACCTGTAACTACAAAGAAGCAGGTCTTAGTTAATTTGTTTGTAAGATAATCAATTTAACGTGCTTTCTGATTTTAACACTGAACGTTTTTCTACTATCTCCCATAAGGTGATTTGCTTGATTTATACTTTGGTCAAAGAAATTTAGAGGCATATGTTCATCACTAGAAATTACATTTTAGGTTGTTTGAAACAATATCATTTGTTCACTTACATTGATAAATATATTGTTAGAGGAAACTAACTGTGCCTATTAGCAACCCAGTAACATTATCTGCTTTGATTCTCTTCATCATGATTTTCTTAATAATTGAAAAATATTCCTTGAAAGTGTTTTTTTTTGGTTTTTGCATAAAGTCTATGAAGATAGAAGTAAAATAAGTGATTAACTGCATAAGTAAACACTCAATACGGAATCCTGAACTCCTAAGTGGATACCATCTTGGGGGTCCTGGGGCTTTAATTGGGACCCTTTGTCTTCTTGGATGTGCATCAGTGAAAATCTTTCTTTCCAAAGAGAAAACACTGTGTATTTGAGGGATGTAATGCCAGCTCATTAGTCCATCCATCCATCCATCCATCCATCCATCCATCCATCCATCCATCCACATATTGCTTGATGTGGTTCATTTAACCTGAAATACTTCTTGGGTACTCAAAAAACACAGACCAGCAGTAGTAATGTTATGTTTTTATATGATGAATGCTTTTATATGCCAAAGCTACATGTGCGTGTGCACGCGC